GCCTTAACCTGTGGCTGCTGCCCTGAAATCTGCCTTTAAACTTACTTCAACCTACCACCTTAGAAAACTAACAAAAGAGAAACAAACAACAAAAAAATTGACCCTTTCACTTAACTTTGCTGCTGTTTGCCTAATTTTTCATGTCTCTTTCTGTATTCACTCAGTGTCTTTACTTGAGCAGCACATGTTTTCACTTTCAATGTCCATATGTGGTTTTCTTCTACATGTTTATTAAAAATACTCCATCAAATATCATCAGTGACTCATAACCACAAAATTAAATAGGTTCTCTTTAATCCTAAATCTGATTTATTCATCGATGCACTTGATGTTTTTGCCAACTTTCCCCTGATATTCTTCTCACTTAGCTTTAGTGATGCTTGATGACCCTCCATCTCTAATAACTTCTTCCCTTTTTGTGTATTTTTATATGTGGGTTATTCTCCCTTTCCTTCTACTTATGGATAGTCTCCTTTAATAAATAATGTATTTTAAAAAAAAATCTACTTTGGCTATACAGGGGGGGAACTATTCAAACAATTCCCCTAAAAATTAGTTACTCATGAAGTATTATGTATTATGTAATCTTATTTACTTATTCATATAAATGAAAATGACATCTGCGCCGTAATATAACTGTACAGTGTGTGTAAAAAGTGATCAAGTAGAAAGCAGCACTATCAGAACAACAAAACAACAACAAAAGAGCAACTAATATTCTGAAAAGAAGTTCAGTTTCTTTAGATTACTGTTTGATGGCATTGAATCATTAAATTGTAAGCAAGTAGGCACATATGATTTCTCATTAATTTCTCATCACCCTTAGGGACTGATACAGAGTTTGCTGCATAATATGATCTCACCAATGTATGCTAAATTGAATGTGAGGTTTCCAGCAAACATTGCCAAAAGACAATACAGGGCATAATATGACAATATTCTAACTATCATCATTATAAATCTAATCTAAGATTTCTACCTCTCTCAATGTATTTTGTCTAAAATATTTTTTGCTTCAGTTGATGGAATACTACATATAACATGGAGATGTCAATCATATTGTGGATGTAGTTTACAGCAGGACTTTCTGAGCTCACAGTGCTAGACAGTGCACCCTTATAGTGCTAATGCAGGAGTCACTAAGTGGCTCTATTTCCATAGACCCATATGACAATATTCTCATTTGCTTTTCTCTAAAAGGTGCAAGAGTTATGGAAATTATTATAGGAGAAAGAAGAGAGTGCCAAAGATGACAATTTGACACTTGATTACTTGTCCCTTAAAGGGAAAAGAAAGTCAGAAGTGTTTTATCTGCTTTTTCTACCTAGGTCAGAAGCCCCAGTCATGCATGAGATGTAATGGTGACTCTGAAACATGGAGAGGCTAATATTAGTGATTTACACAAATGCTTTGTTATTATTATTTTACCCATTAGAAAAAATTAATTGTCTTAATGCTTTAGGTGGGCATAAAAAGGGACTTGAACGGTCTTTGAAGATTAGAGCAAGAAGAAGCAGAGGCATTTATACTAATCCCACTGGAATTTCCTCAGTTCATCAAAGAATCTGGGAATATCACAGGATGGCCTGAGGGAAAGTAGTTCCTGACAACATACTGTGTATTACAATTAGAGCAGAGAAAACAACTGAATGAGAGTTGCATCATCTATAAAAGAAACTCAGGAGTCACAGTCATCTGATGTTTATTTCAGACATATTTCTGAATATAAAATAAATATGGATATATATTTGATGTATATTTATTTTACATAATTACATATATTGCCCACTCCTAGGATTTACATACTTAGTTTTTTCTGTGTAACGAAGCACCTCACATTTACAGGTCCCACGATTCATCCAGGAGAAGGAAAGAGAGAAATCACCTGTTCTCTTCCAACCTCTACTAGCAGTCTTTCTGTAGCCACCAAGAAGATAGTAATGGAAGATAATACAACTTGAATGTGATTGAATATTTTTTCCAAGTGAGTTGAGATTTTAAAATAGATTAGTCAATAAATCACTAGATTGTACTGAACATAATGAAAGAAATTGAGATAGTGTTGATTGGGAAATTTAATTCTAGTCCCCATCCTCTATTGGGTTAATGTGCTGGGTTGCTAACAAAATGGTTGGTGGTTTGAGTCCACCCAAAGGCATCTTGGAAGAAAGTCCTGGTGATCTACTTCTGAAAATGAACTACTGAAAACCCCATGGAGCACAGTTCTACTCTGACACACATGGGGTCACTTTGAGTCAGAGTTGACTCTACGGCAACTGGTTTTTAGGGTAAGTGCTCAATAAAGCTGATAACAGTTAATAAAATAAAATTATTTCACGTTTGTAGATTGCTGAATTGATACTATCAATTGGACCTATTACTTACACAACAGAATTAGAGAAAATTTTACAAGAAAAAGTAAAATATTTTAGGCCATAAAAGTTCCCATAAGGAAAGAGTAAGAAGATGAGAACTATTTGATTTAGAATGGATTATATAGGCTGAAAATGGAGTTATGAAACCTTAATATCACAAAAATAGGAAATATCTCTTATGGTTAAATGAGTCTTTTAGGAAGAAAGGGGAATTCCACCTTAAAAACATGCAGAATCCAACAATTTGATTAATAAACCACTTAAAAGTAGGTTTATTGAATTAATGGATGCCACATTCATAAGGAATTAATAAATGAAAGTAATATGTTTAAGGGATAATCCTATATTTTAACATTGACACAAAAGATTCCTTGATTTCACTGTAGGAAAAAAAAAAAAAAAAAAGCATATTATATGGAGTATGGGTATGATGCAGCATGGTAATTCTTTTCTTCTTAGCAAATAGCCTAACCACTATTCACACTCTTGTGAAAGCTTTTCAGTTTCTTACTTGAATGGAGTGCAACCCAAATCAATATTTCTACAAAAGGAATAACTCCACATATGTAAGCATCATTGCATAGATCAGGTTTGAACTTTTGTTACCGAGTATAACCATAGTCATACCACAGTTCCATTCTGTATGAAATCTCTGATAGTGTTGTTTTAAAAATAAGTTGACATAACAGTAAAAAAATATCAGGGAAAATCCAGTATATAAGGGTATATATACCTAATGAAAATCAATTTGTTTATTCAAAAGTTTACCCTGTTTTTAAGTAGATAAATATATTTAAAAATTTAAAAAGCATTTTATTATATTAATTAACTACACATTATATTATGTATCATGCTGTTCTTTTCTTAAAAGTTTATGTTCCTATAAAGAGTTTAAGATACTTGATAGTAGGAATTATTTTGTGTCTCGTATTTCAGGTGGTACTTCAACAAACATTTATACGTCTTTAAATGACACATGTGGTTTTAAAGCAGTATTTAACTCCTTCATGGACTCTGACAACAACCTATCAGACAGCTAGATAGACGTGTGTATATTCACTATACATATATTTTCAGTAAGTTGGTATCCTTGGTTCTCAAACATCACAGTAGATTAGAAATCACCCAGGTTTACTAAGACACAGATTGCAAAGCTAGTTCAGTAAATCTGCAATGGAGCCTGGTAATCTGCATTGTTAACAGTTTCTCCAGTGATGTAGATAGTGATGGTCCAGGGACTACACTTTGGAGGAACTGATACAAATAGCAATCAAGTAGATGATAAAAAATCTGAGAATCATTTCCAAATTCTAAGTAACTTTTTAAAAAAACTAGCCACCAAAATCTGTTATAATAAATTCCTTTTTCATTAATTAGTAAAATATTAATTAGCATATGATATAAATTATTGATTTTTATATAATTAATAAAAAACTCACAAGAATGCTGAGATGTCAAATATTCTCCATGTACATAACTTTCTTTTGTTATAAAATAGTATTTTATGTGAAAGAAAATAATGTAAAATCAAAATTAAAAATTGCAGGTGACATTATCATACATAAACACACATGTTGGGAGCTCTGGTCATGTAGTGCCTAAGGCATTTGACTGCTAACCACAAAGTTCAAATCCATCAGCCACTCCTCAGAAGGAAGACTGGACAATCGGCTTCCATAGAGATACCGCCTCAGAAACCCATCGAGGGGTCACTATGAGTCGAATGAACACACATATTACATCATAATATTTTGATGTAAGGTTCACTGGGTTATGAAAAATTCTAAACACTTCCATCTAAGATATTTCAAACTAAGTATCAGAATACAGGTCCTGAACAAATAACCAGTGATTACCTGACAAGCAGATTTTGATTACAGCTTTTGGATAAAAACATTAAAATATTTCCTACTTTATTAAAACTTAGTTTCTTATCATGGTGAATATTTCAACATATTTCTGCTATCTATCAATGAATTCCAAATATATTCCTGATTCTCTCCTTTGGATTTCTCAAATGTTCTGTGCTTAATATTGTGGAGAAAAAAAAAACTGCAGAACTGGATAACAGCAAAAAAAAAAAAAAAAAAAGTATAAAACATTTCTATACACTTGGTTGCCTTGTATTTTCAAAAATATTACAACACATATATTCAATAAATAAATTTTTCTCTTTATAGCACTTAAAATTACTTCATATAATTTGTATTCTATAAAATTTCCTCATGATATGTATATGATAAATGTCTGATACATGTTATAAACCAGAGGCCTAAATCTGTATTTGAGTTTTTGTTATGGTTAAGAATCATACAAAATTTTTACCAGACTCAATTGAGATGTCTAACCATAAGTTCTTCATTTTTAATATTTTATGCTTTCTGGTGCCACTGATATTAATATCCCAGGCAGGAACAGCAGGACACATTCAAGAGTGCAATCAAAGTAATGACACAGGTGTCTGCTCCGTCACTTTAGCAATCAGTATTCTTCATTCAGATAATCTCAAAATCACTCTCACTTTCCCGCCCTATGCTTCCTTAGTGCAATGACCTCTAAGTCGGACCTCTCCTGACGATTTATAAACAAGACATTATTATTATTTTCTGTTACTTGCATACTCACAATCAGGAGGCATCTTTTCCATAAACATCTTGTAGTATTCTTTTAGAAGTTCAAAGTTTTCCTGATTTATACTTTCTTGCAAAGAGACATCTCCAAACCTAAAAATAGAAAAAAAGAAAAGAGTTATGGATTATAAAATAGTACCAGAAAGTCATACTTTTTACCTTTCCTTTTAAAAAGATGGCAATAGTTTCCTAAGGAGGGAGTCTCTTTTTTTAAAAACTTACGTTGCACAATGGTGATTTCAAACATATTCTAGTCTCCATTGGCCCCAACTCCACCGATTCTTTCTGACACAACAAAATAGCCTCACTATCATCAAATGTGACATTAAATGACATACCATATACAGAACTCTAGCCTCTGTTCATATATATATAATTGACAGTAAAGTTAGTCATTCGTCCTACCTTGGCATGGGTATACCTCTACAGGGCTGCATCTCTGTATTTCTAAGCCCCACATCCTTTTTTGCCTTTACAATCATCCTGTTAACCAATGAAACCAATGACAGCATTCTGAGTAGGGATCCAGAAGACCAGGGCTGGACAGTGGGCTCTACGCTGTAACTGCTGTGGGAAATTGCCGAGGCCTACAACCTGCCAGAGAGTAGTTTATCTCTGCCAACATTTTTTCTGTCCTTATCACAAGGGCAGACAGTTTCTACACTAGTGCTCTTTAGATTCACTGGTAAACAAAAAACAAAACAAAACAAAATAAAACAAAAAAGTCCTTTCTACATGTGTCTCTAACCATGTTTTCTCCTTATGCATGTGGAATCCCAGATTCAGAACTTAAACTCTACTTTTCTTTCTGTAAAATGATGCTGTGTAAGTGGCTTCCAAGTGTGTATCTTCATCATTGGAGCTTTTACCAAGCTCCAAATCTGCATTTATAGATGCCAATAGAAAAATTCAATTTGAATCATCCACCTTACCTCAAATATTTCTGAAAAATGAAACCACTTTGTATGGGGCATGACTGTGAGCTCCCCAAAATGGCTCCCAAACTCCATCTGTTTGGTTAAGGAAGAAGTCATTTTTAAAGATGTGCTAACTCATTTCCCTTGTTTTCCTAGCTAATTCAAAACCCATTCTTTCATAGTTATAGACCATTAACTCATTGAGGGCAGCACCTTATCAGAACATCCAAGTCACAAGACATTGTCCACAGCCCCCTCTGGTTGGGCTGTGCACCATTCTATTTGGAAAGTGGTCACCTAGCCCTAGTCCCTAGCTCTCAAACTCAAGTATAAATATCCTTGGCTGAGGGGAGGGGGTTAGTGGTCACTTAAGCCTGGACCAGCTTGCTGCTGCTGATCCACACACGCCGTCTGCAGACCTACTGTAAGCCTTGCCACCACTCTCATATTTTAAACTCCTCACCTGAGCTTTGCTACTTTACTTTGTTACCCTCTCTGCATAATACATTCTTATATCTTTGAGCACACCTCCAGGTAAGTTTTTTGGCCTTCTCCTACCTTCTCAGAAGGAGGTTTTATGAGTTCATAAGACATACCTCGTCCTTTTGACTATTTCTTAGCATGTTCCAATATTCTGTCCTTAACTCAGATTTTTCTCTTTTCCTCACTCCTGCTCACTCTTCACTGATTTTCACATCTCTGGTATCCCAATTTTTTTTTCCTTTACCACTGTCATTACATAACAGGCTTTAATTATATCCAGTTTGGACTCTCTTAAAATCTACCAAATATCTGAATGCCTCTGTATCTTTCCTTTCCAATCTAGCATTCACTTCAGATTATTCATTCACTCAACAAATATCCATAACAATAATAGTCAATAAAAGTCTATGGAGCAGTTGTACTATTTAATACACAGGATAATCGTGCGTCTGAAGCTGACTACAGTTAATAACAACAACATGTGCCAGGTGCTATGCTGTGCAACAAATGTAATATTATGGAACATTAGAGGAATTAATCTAACACTCATCATATCAGCTAACTAAACTTCAGAAATTTTCCTCTCTGTTAAGGACAGAATCCTGCCTCCTTAGTTTAGCATCTACCCTCTCAACAAAGGCTTCTAAAACTCCTTGTGATAATGTATTCACACATTTCTTCTTCACTATTTTAATGGCTTTGGGTTTTTCACATTCTGTTCTCAATTTGACAAGAATGTGTTACCATCCATGTTGGCTTAATTAATGCTTATTTATCCTTCCAAGTCTTGTGAAAGGCTCATCTCCTCAATAAAACCTCCCTGATGAAATCCTCTATCACCTGTAAATCACTTTTTCTTCACATTCCTGTCCCTTGAACAAGCTTTGATTATTGCATGACTCAAACTGCAAAGTATTATTTGTTGAACTATCTTCCTTAATGGATGGTAAGTTATTTCAGGGCAAGGATCACATCCCATTATTCTTGCATCCCCTATTCTCCTTCTGTCCCAAGCTTGGCAGAGCAGTACCTGGCACAGTCAATGTTCAATACTGATATTGAATTGGACTTGAAGGACACATATGTGGACCCAGGAAAAATCTACAGGAGAGTTTCCTGAGACCTGTGTGAATTATACTCTTCTAACTTTTTTAGACTTGGAAGGAAGGTTGGGCAATCCTACTTCCATAATGATACTG